CATGTTTTCTCCATGTCTTTGTCTTTGTCCTTGTCCACACCTGCAGGATAAGGAGAAAGAGAGCAGTCAGTCGGAACCTGAAATCAAACCTCCAATCTGGAACTGACTGCCTGGGACCTTTGCCTGGTTGCTTATTTAGCATTGCTCTCGAGTACTCATCCTCAACTGCTGTCAAGGTCATGAATTCCTTCGGCAAATACCTCATGACAGTTGATCAGATATTGGCTCTTTACACTGAAGCTGCCAAGCGTGGATGAGTCACTATGAAGGAATGTTCTGAATGACCATTTAAATGCAAAGGTTGCACACCACTTCTGCCATGCAAAAGATTGAAGCAGAAGATTCAACGATGAGCTGAAACATATCACTACAGCACGACACATTTCCATACCACATTCACTATTCTGTCAACAGTAAAAGTATCCCATATCATCAAGGTCGAACGTACTCTAGATTTGATGGACTTGTTTTGACCCTCAAATTCTTGAGTCGGCCTTATACTCTGGAGGGAACCAGAAAACCCTCCAACCTAGTTCAAGAATAAGCCTATGGAAAGTTACTTCTTCAAAAGCAAAGTATTTCATATCATCTCTTCTCCATTTGCTTCTCCTTATCCTTAGTGCTATTTACGACACAAAGAGAAAGAGAACAATCAACATGAAGCCGAAGTCGAACCTCCGATCCAGGTTGCTTGCTTAGAAGTCTGATTGCTTACCTTGTCTGTTACCTCATTCGACAAATCTCCTAGCTCGGCGACTTGGGGGACTCCTACTATAGGGTTTGTATCGCACTTGACCAAGCCCGAAACTACAAGTAAGCCTCAAGTGAAATTGATACATTACCTTATGCATCTTCATCAGTTAAAGATATTACCCCTTGATGGAGGAAAAGTACTTCCAGAGAAGATGCCACATCTACATATGAGACAGATAAGGTAAGTGAGAATGATACCACACTTCAGTACTTAGAAGTTTCGTGATTACTCAATGGCTTGGATCTTGCAAGTCCCCAACCGATGAGTTTCCCTCACTCAGGAACTTAAGGGAGCACTGTTTGTACCATAGTTAACCAATCCCGAAACTACTGAGCACCAGTCAACGTTATACCGTCAAGGACCTAGAAGAGTTTCCCTTCAACCAGGAGGCCAATCACAATGCGACATGTGTCGACATCAGAAGCCAATCACAGCGCGACACGTGTCAACATCAGAAGCCAATCACAACACGACACGTGTCAATGTCAGAACAAAACTAGAAACTCTCTTTTATAAATAGGGATCATTCTCCCACAATAATCTCTAATGTCATTTTGTACTAAACTATTCACTAGAACTCACAAAAGAAGGGCTTAAACCTATGTATTTGTGTAAACCCTTCACAATTAATGAGAACTCCTCTACTCCGTGGACGTAGCCAATCTGGGTGAACCACGTATATCTTGTGTTTGCTTCTCTGTCTCTATTCATTTACATACTTATCCTTACTAGTGACCGAAGCAACCAAGCGAATGTCACAAAACCTGACACTTTCTGTTGTACCAAAGTCTTCACTGATTTTGTGCATCTACAGTCTCAAAGCTCAGGCTCTGATCATTATGTTTGGGTGTTTCGTTTCTTGAATTTGTGAAGAAGAAACGGGGAAACAAAACGCAAGTCTCGAAGAACCCTAACTTTCGATTCAAAGTCTCACATGGCTGGTTCGAAAGTGGTGGAGTCTTAAGGGCTCCAATCTTTAATGGGTCTAACTACAATTTTTGGTTCATTAAAATGAAGACTATATTCAAGTCTCACGATCTCTCTTGTGGAAAAGGGGTCTGAAAACCCAGATATGGAGGATGACTCGGGTGATGATGAACATCTATCAGTGAAGAGGATTGCAATGAAAGAAAATGAAACTAGAGATGCAAAAGCTCTCAGTATCATCCAGCGAGCAGACTCAGGTGAAATATTTCCTCGAATCTCAAACTGGAATACATCCAAGCCTACTTGGGATGTCTTGCAACAGGAATTTTGAGACTAGTGCATAAATTTTAATTAGCTTCTACTATGAACTAAAAAACTAGTGCATAAATTTTAATTAGCTTGCCTAGGACCTATGACTCTATTGCATCCATTATAGAGGAAACCAAAGATCTTGACATTGTTGGGGTTGAAGAGATGATAGATACCTTGAAGGGCAATGAACAAAGATCAAATAGGCACTCTGAAAACTCGGCAAAGAAGGCATTTGCTAGTCTTAGTATACATGGCAGGGAGAGTAACTATAGCCCTCAAAGGAGTAACTGAAACTAGAAAAAATGTAGAAAAGAAAGGGCAAGAAGTGGCATAAGAAACCTACTCCACAGGTAAAGCAAGAATACACTGATGAATATACCCTTAGAGCTCATCCACATTGATGTTCGTGGTCCAATGCAAACACCACCACTCAATGAAAACTGATATTTCTTATTGTTCATAAATGACTGCACAAGAATGGTTTGGGTGTGAGAAACAAGGCAAAAGTGTTCTCTATTGTCCAAAGAGTAATGCTACAGTTAATACATATTTGTAATCTCTCTTTAATAAAGTAGTGCTCACTAACACATTTGGTTCTCATCTCTATTAGGAGATGATACAAATGATGGTAAAATTATGTGGTAAGAGTAATGTTTTTGTTTTCAAAAAGTTCAAAGCAATGGTTGAACTACAACGTGGACTAAAAATAAAAAAGCTTAGAAGTGATTCAAGTTCAAGGAGTTATGTGAGGATATAGGACTACAAAACAACTAATTGTTGCTTACTCATCACAGTAGAATGGTATTACAGAAAGGAAAAATAAGACGGCTTGAAATGGAAAAATCCATGTTGCTTGAAAAGAAGATGCCACATTAATTTTGGAGTGAGGCAGTTAAAACTGCAGTCTATCTTCTCAACATATGTCCAATAAAGACACTTGATAAAATGAATCCTTTTGAAGCATTTAGTGGCAGGAAACTTGGTGTGAAGCATCCAAAGGTGTTCTTTTTGTTATGCACAAATGCCAACACAATTGAGACACAAACTTGAAGACAACACCACCAAATGCATCTATATGGGATATAGGAGTTAAGAGAAAGGGTATAGATTTTTCAGTCTTAAAACTTACAAGATGATTATTTTGAGGGATGTTATATTTAATAAAGAAGCTGTTAGGAGTTGGGATAAAACGGTTGAAGATATCATCTTAGTACCACTTCGACTTGATGAAGTGGAATGTGAAACACAAACTGAGAGTCAAATTGTATTTAAAATTTAGTCTCTCCAACGTTTAAGTTCAACACCAGAGGACCCAGAAGTGCAAGACTCTTCCTTAGGATCAACATCATTAAGAATGAGGAGGTTGAGTGAGATTTATGCAACCTGCAACTATCGTATAATGGAACCTGAAAGCCTTTAAGAAGCTGAGAATGACCAATCTTAGCAGAAGGCAATGAGTGATGGAATTTTATGATTGAGAAAAACTCAACTTGGGAACTTGTGAATAGACCAAGGGACAAACTAGTGATAGGTGTGAAATGCGTCTATAAGAAGAAACTGAATCTAGATGGCTTTGTACAAAAGAACAAGGCAAGACTAGTTGCTAAGGGTTATTTCCAACAACCTGGAGTGAATTTCAATGAAACGTTTGCTCCAATGGCAAGGTTGGACACTATTAGGACTTTAATTGCTTTGGCCACACATAAAGGTTGGAAATTGTATCTGTTGGATGTAAATTCAACTTTTCTCAGCAACTTTAGTTCCATCATGTTTGTAGCAAACCTATTATCAAGATTTATGCATAGTATAACAAAGATTCACATGGAAACTGCAAAAAAAAGGTCCAATTGCACATGGCAAGGTTGGACACTATTAGGACTTTAATTGCTTTGGCCACACATAAAGGTTGGAAATTGTATCTGTTGGATGTAAATTCAACTTTTCTCAGCAACTTTAGTTCCATCATGTTTGTAGCAAACCTATTATCAAGATTTATGCATAGTATAACAAAGATTCACATGGAAACTGCAAAAAAAAGGTCCAATTGCTACAAACAGAGATTTTGTACCCCATTGATTACAAATGAAAGTGTAAAAATGATGGCATCCAATTGCATTTTCACTCTATTTGACAGCAACAAGACTTGATATCATGTTTGTAGCAAACCTATTATCAAGATTTATGCATAGTATAACAAAGATTCACATGGAAACTGCAAAAAAAAGGTCCTCGGACACCTCTCATTAACCTTGGATTTTTGTTTCAAGTATATAAAGTGAAAATGCAGATCTAATTGGCTTCTATAATAGTGACGGGTGGAAGTGAGGATGATATAAGAAGTATCTCAGACTATGCCTTTACATTTGGATATGGGATATTTTCTTGGGCTTCAGTCAAGCAACAAAGTTTTGCACTATCCAACGCAGAAGTTGAGTATGCGAGTGTTGTTGAGGCAACATTTCAAGCTATATGGCTAAGATTTGTTTTGAAGGATTTTTAGGAAATGCAATTGGATGCCACTCAGTTCATGTGTGACAACAACTCTGCAATAACCAGGAGTAAAAACCATGTGTTCCATCAAAGGACTGAACACATTAAAAGAAAATTTCATTTCATCATAGAGGCATTGTTGGAAAACACAATTGAGTTGTTGTACTGCAAGTCTAAAGATCAGACTGCAAATATTTTCAGCAAAACTCTGCCTAAACACAAATTTGTTTACCTGAGAAGACTGCTTGGAGTCAAAGCATAATCCATTTAGAAGGGAATGTTGGAGCTAAATGAGATTTGGTTTTGATCCTACAACTTGGAACACAAGAAATTTGTTTGTGTTTGTTTGCTTGAATTCCATAAGGCTAGTGTTATGTAGCTGCTGGTGTTGACTTTGTTGTTAGTGAACTAGGTGTGGACTTGGTTTCAGTAAACAAGTGTATGCACCAAATTAATTTTTTAGATTGAAGGGCTCAGAGTAATGGTCTTTGTTTGGTAGTGAAGGGGAAGAGATAAGAATGCATGAAGGATGCTGAGCTGCTACTATTAGCCCAAGCATTTCATCTCTAAATTTCTCTGATTTTCTTCATTCTTTTTCAAGATTACATCACGTATGTACACTGAACTATTGCAGATTTAACATAAACACGATAAATAATCAACACACTGACTAAAAAGTACAAGCTTGCATGGCACCAAATTTAGAAGCAAACCAAATGCCCCACTGTTTACCAAAAAACTCACGATTGTTGATTTTTTTTTTAATTTTATTTTATAAAAAAACATAGGGTTAATTTTTATGACCTAGGGTTAAGCGATAACAAGTTTAGGACTCCGTCCAAAGGCCGAGTCCTAAACCCTAAATTATAAGCTACACTAGCCCATATCCCGATTCCGACACCCTCATCTATCCACTTGTCATGTTCCAATTGATTCTTATTTGTAAAATTTCTTTAGTGTTATAAAGTAAATCGATTCTACAAACTATTGAATCCGGAGCATTTTTCCATGTTATTAAGGGCCTAATTACATGTGAAAAGCCCCTAAATCAAATCAAATCAAATATGAAGACAACCACCAAATTACCATAAATGAGATCCAAGATTCAAACTTAAATCAAATATGGTTATAATTAAAGAACGTACCCTTAGCTCTGTTGGTTATGGATGAAGTGAATTGCTCTTCAATATATACGTTCGTTAGAGCACCAATTCAAAACGGTTGTTCTGTAAATTGAGAATAAGCTAATGAAGTAAGAAGAGAGAGAACGTAATAATTTCTTCTTTTTTTCTTGTAAAGTTCTGCTGGATACAATTGCAATTTTCTATCTAAAAGCAAAAGGAACTGAGAAATCTAAAAGCATTAAGTTTTATCTTCTTCTTCTAAGTTAACATGCGTACCCTAAAGCTAAATGAAGCAAATTTATATGACAACAGAAATATACTACAAAGAAAATAAGGATAGAGTGTGGTTACCTAGTGTTATTTTATTATTATTATTATTTTTGGATTGGAGTTTGGTTCAAACCAATTGGAGAGGACCTTTTTTTCAGCAATTCAGTAGGACTTCACCACTACCAACATTCTTAGCTAGATAGAGAACTTTGAATGAGTGCATCGTTATTATCTACAAACATTGAATTGGAAAAGATATAACTGTTAATTCAACTTTGAACCAACTTCTGCCTATATACAATGACAAAAACAAATCGCAATTTCAACTCACTCTCTCATCAGAATGTATAAAATAATCTGAATTAAAAAAATTCACGGATTAAAATTATGATATTTATAAATCTCAAAATCACAAAACTCCCAAATTTAAACAAAACAAACTCCACATATGTATTTTTCATGTTATAATCTCGAGCAGAATAGACTTGCGTACAATTTTTATAAAACAACACTTGTATAACACTTATACCAAAATTTACTCACATTCTTAGTTGTAAGTTATTGATTTGGTAAAAGTTGGTGAGTCATAAAATGTATTGATACATTCATAGCTTTTTTAATCAATTTTTACATACAATTAATACCATCGGTTGTATGCTTACACTCGTTGTTTCCAAAATTTGTGTTCTCAAATTTTTATTTATTATTAATTCATAAGAAGCTTTTTTAATCAATGTTTACGTACAATTAATAATATCGGTTGTATGCTTACACTCTTGTTTCCTAAATTTGTGTTCTCATATTTTTATTTATTATTAATTCATAAGAAAACAATTTTTTTTAAAAGGCAGAGAATGCAATAAATAACATATTCACTAAGCTAAGAAAACTAAAAAGTCACTCATTGCATCAACAAATATAGCTAGTGAGTTTGCTTGACTGTGCTGCTTAACTGTGGTTAGAGAGAAACTGAAATGTCTCTATAAATCTTTCCGACCTCTAGAATAAATCTTTTTAAAAATAAAATAAAAATTATCCATGAGTTTCAAAAAAACTGAAACCTGTAATAATGCTGAAAAGCATATCTGATGAAAGGAATGATGAGTGAAAAAATAAATCAAAGAAGGAGAAAATGTGAAATTCCCAAATTAGTGTTACACTACAACACTAGCAATCACCTTGTTTATTTTTTAAAAAAATAGTTTAAATAATGTTTTGTTGTAAAATAGCAATAGCATGCCGGCTGTCATCGGCTTGAGCACTATGGAGAGAATAATTTGCTTCAGTGTTCTTGAATTTGCAAATATTTGGAGCACATCGCAAATTGTTGTTGTGTGTCACAATCAATGGAGTTGAGAACAGCTGGCACCCAAAAAAAGCAAATAATTTGTTATTAAGCATGCAGACAATATATTCACATTTATCAAACAATTATTTCTATTAAATACAAATACAAATTAAAGCAGATTAAATATATATCTTATTTACTAAAACTAATCATGGTGGAACAACACTATCATATACTTAACATGAAAATTCTTTTACTTTTCAAATATCTTTATAATTTTCAATTGTTAGCTAAGATGAATTAAAATTTAGAATTTGAATTTTTTTTATAAAAACATGGTGAAAACACTTCTAAACAACTTAATCACCAAGTGAGTTAAGAATTATCAAAAAGTTGATAAAATTGTATTGTTAAATTTATATCAGAAAAGTTGAAATATCTCAGGACAAATAGATTGGTAACTATTAACGTAAAATATTAATTAATTGAAACCATTGAGGAAAAAATCGAATTTGAGAACATTTTTTTCAACGGATTGTGCTTCGTTCTTCACATTAGATTATCTTGATTAGAGAACGATCAAATACGTAATTTAAGGGTATTCAATTAAAATTTAAAGTAATTGTATAAAATTCAACATATTCAATCATGATTTTATGATAAGTTATTAAAATTCGATTGTATTCAATTAGAATTTTAATGAAATTTATACTTTCTAAGCGTATTCAATTACAAATTGAGAAATTTATTTTAAAGAACTGAAAAAGTTAAGAAATTATAGAACATTTGAGAGAATTTTAAGCATTTATAAATCTCACATCTTCTATAAAAAATTTAAAAAATTAAATCAAAATTTATAAAAAAAAAAACTCTTCAATTAAACTACATAAAAATTCTTGAATTTATAAAATCCATTAAAATCTTTTAAATTCTGAATTGAATACGTGCACAACACTCGACAATTCACCATAAAAAAATAGAACCATTATCCCTCATAAAAAAAAAAAAATTATTATCCTTATTGCGATGTATTTAATGGGATCACAAACAATCCCATGATATCTCATAATATCATGAGGACATAAACACATACAATTATCAAGAAGAACACAGAACCATTAACCCACTTCTCCACCGCCTTGACCGCTTTGATTTTTGGGTGAGTTTGGATGGTGTTTGGAGGTGATACGGTGGGTTTTGCCGAGAGGGAGAAGGAGAGTTGCAGAGGGGGACAGATGGGAGGAGTTTGTGAGGGATGAGAGAGAGTGACAGTATTGGAAGATGGAGGAGTCTTGAGTGTAATGAGAGATCGAGTGAGAGGCGTGGGAGAGAGGAATTAGTGGGAGGGGTGCAATGATGAGAGAGGAATTATCAAGAAGAACACAGAACCATTAACCCAATTCCGGAGAATGAGGATTCTCTATGTGAGGATCCTGAGAATCTTCAGGTTGTGTCTATTAATTGTAAATCGGACTTTCAGAAATTATTTTAAATATTTATTTTATATTAAATATAAATAGTATTAGATATACGATGAACATACATGATTTAAGAATTTTCATCATCCAGATCCGGAAAGGATCCTTCTGGAATTCCGGAGATCCAGCTAGAGGGCAGTTTCGGCACATCAACGAAGAAAAAGGAAATAGATGGCGGACGCGTGTACCAAAAAAGTATGGAAACGCGTATGATTGACGTGCATTATTGACTCACTGAAAGGAAGGAAACTCGCCAGAAGAAAAAGGGGACCTGATGGGTTGTCAGCCACCCATGTGCAATCTCAATTGCATTACATTGATCTGGACGGTCTTGATTCAAAATTATTAATTTTAATTTTAAATTTATAAATACATTAAATCTAACGAATAAGGTCGAATATGATATATTTAACTGTAAAAAAAAAAGAGATTTAACAGTCTAAAATTAAATCAACATACAATGCTTTGTTTAGAGAAAATAATTAATTTAGTGTTTTTTCATTATATATTGGAGTCTAATTCTAATTATTTTTCGGTTAAAATGTTTATGAAATTAGAATAATCTACATAATTTTTATTTTTTAAAAGGTTACTTAATGAACATAATTTAGCTTAATTTCATTTCTTAATAATCTTTCGTTAAAAATTTAACCCATAACGGTTGGAACTGAAAAACTATTTTTGAGTTAAAACCTAAATTTTTTATCTTAATATTTGGAGATGGTCTTATTATAGGTATAACTAGTAATAGAACCCGCGCGATGCTGCGGGTTTTAAAAGTTTATAAAACATGTATAAATTTCTATTCCAATAGTAGAAAATGATGGTAGGCAAGAGAAGCAAGGGGCTAGTTGTATAACAAAGCTTCAGTAATGCATATTTGAATGAGAAAAAAAGTGAGAGATGTTAAAAGAAATAAGATAAAATTGGTAGAATGATAAATTAAAAAAGGAAGTTGACAGGTGTATAGAAATGATTTCATCAAATGTAAAGGAAAGGACTGCTAATTACTAAGAGATGCAAGTAACACAAAAACAGTTACTCTTGAGCTTACAATTATGATTGTTGTGTGAGCGAGATCATTCAGCTCAATCTGCTTCCTTTATCTGTCCCTTACATGCTCCAGCCAAAAACACATAGAAAGAAAAAAGAAGAAGAATGTACGTGTTTTGTTCTCCTCACTTCCTCCTAAAGATACTCACAAATCACAATGGATATCATTGACAACGATAGTATATTATTGTTTCTTTGGTCAAATGTAATCTAATACTGTCAATTGGTAGTTAGTTCTATAACATTGTTTTTGCAAAAACGAAAAAAGAATGTTGTAGAAAGATGGATCAGATACATTTGGTTTGGTATCTCTATGTAATGTAGAGATATAATTTGCTGAGTTGTTTCAACTTCCATGATTTGGACAAATGATTATCACTTCCATCTTTTCTCTTTAGAGGAATGGACTGTTACCAATTTGTAGATAAAGATTTTCTTATTTTATTTGGTATAAATACATGGCCAATGAAGTTGATTGTTCACTGAGGAGTTTATGGAGATCTAAAAGTATAAATAGAGATGCTCCCATACTCTTTCTACATGTTTTAACCAAGCCAAAAAACATCTTAGAGGTAGGGGAATTGTTAAATCTAACCAATAAGTAATGAAAGTGATTTATATATAGATTTAACAATTTCTTTATTGGCAAGGTATGTGGAGAGGGTATATCTTTAGTGGGGATATCAAGATTGATACTCTTGGATATCCAACTAAACCGATTGGTGATCAGCCAGGTAATTGGTCATGTGTTTAGACCAAACAAAAGGAAGATAGTTTTTATCTACATTGGTAACAGGCGATTCCTCTGAAGAGAAATGTTAGTAAACATTGAATTTAAATGTAAAATGTTAGCAAACGATCTGAAAAACAAACGCATGAAACATGCAAAACTCACCTGGAAGCCGTCGGATTAGATGGGTCTCAGTCAAGTTCGAAGTGAATCCAAAATGGACAAAAAATTTCTGAAATAAAAAACCAAAGCACATGAGATACTAACAAAAGTCATCCAAAAAAAACATGGAAAATCAAAACCTTGTGCGGCAACAAACATGTAGAACATACTTGGAAAATGTGGAAAAAAGTTCCATTGTAAATGTTGGGAAAAGGGAATGAGAATGTTATATTTGGTCGGATTCATAATGGTCTTGTAAGAGGAGTTAGTATCATGAAACATCATTTGATAATTTAAAAAGTGAAATAGTTTAGAACATTGAAAGCTTGAAAATAAAAAGGAATTAATCTAACTTGAATAAACAGGAATCAACATTCACAGATAGGAAAAGATTGAGTGTTTACCTGCTAGTCTAGCCATAGTAACGAAGATTACAACTCTTATTCAAAGATCAATTCTTTTTCCAATAGAAAACTGTACGTTAAGACAAATTTATTCAATTAGAATGAAGCTAATGAGATTAAAGTCAAAATTTAAAACTAAGGGTGAAAATGGATTTGACAGCCACAAAAATTGATGATAGGATAGGTTGCAAACCTTGGTAAAGTAGAAGGATTTTGAAAGCTGCAGACGAAAGCCATATAAAATGGAGACCAACGTCTGTTGAAACAGAAAAGAGAATTAAATTACATATTTGAATGATAAATCTAATGATTTAAACAAAAGATCTAAAACTAAGTAAAACGTTATGTATCCATTAATAAAATTAAGAATTTTGTTCTAAATTTTGTAGCACATCTTTGAAAACTATATTTAGAGTATGGTTGTTCACATCATTTTCTACATTTGTGATCAAAAATTTTAAACCTTCTCTTGATGTAACTCTAAACAATGCAACATATAATTGACCATGAGTGAAAACAGGTTCAGAAAGATATAGTCCAACTTGTTTTAAAGATTGCCCTTAACTTTTATTAATGGTCATTGCATAACATGGCCTCACTGGAACTTGACGTCTTTTAAAAATGAAAGGCCACTTGTTTTTCAGTTGTTGTGTAAGAGTGATTCTCGGTATGAATACTTTGTGACCAACATTATTTCCAGTAAGTATCATAGCTTCAATAATTCTAGGAAATAACTGTGTGACAATTAATCTAGTTCCATTACATAAACCATAAGATTGATTTAAATTTCGCAACAACATAATTGGCATTCCTATTTTTAAAATTAAATTATGTGTAGGTAAACCATTGAAATCAAGCGTATTTAAAATTTTTGTAGGATACATTATTTCAAGATTGTCAACATTTCCACTTGAGGATCACAAAGAATCGTAGCTTAAAAATGTTTATAATTGTTTATTTCTGTTACTGTTGTATTCCGAGGTGTAACAAATTGGTTATATAATTGTTTATTTCTGTTACTGTTGTATTCCGAGGTGTAACAATAACTCGTTCTCTTAAGTAAACAAAATTGTCAAACAAATTTTTAAAATTAGGATAAGTTGCTTCAAAAATTGAAGAAATTGGGTTTATAGAAGGATGAACTATTAAATCTTCAGGTATTTGAATAAATGATGTATCACTGTCATTTGAATGATTTGCATCGTTAATTTTTTCATCACCTATTTGTAAAATCCAATTTGCAAAATCACTGATTTTCTTTTTTTCTTCAATGTTTAAATCATTTCTTGACAATCTCATGTTTTCTTTTAAACGAAAAATTTTAAAATGGGACCACAAATAAGAACTATTTAGGGAAGCATTTATTATATCTTCTTTGGTTCCTCCAGGTAAAACATGTAGTATTTGTCGAAAATCACCACCTAGTAAAAGAGGTTTACCACCAAATGGAAGTTTCTTATCTGAATTTTGAAGATGTGATAAAATGTCGGAAAGCGATTTATCTAATGCTTCAAAACAATATTTATGATTCATAGGTGCTTCATCCCATATGATTAAATCAGTTTTTTCAATTAATGTAGCAAGATGTGTTTTTTTTCTTTATTGGACAAATTGAAGAATCAGTAATAATCAATGGAATTTTAAATCTTGAATGAGCTGTTCTACCACCTGGTAATAATAATGATGCTATTTCTGATGAAGCTACAGCTAAAACAATTTTTCTTTCAGATCTAAGTTTACATATAATTGTATCCCACAAAAAGGTTTTTCCAGTTCCTCCATGACCATATACAAAAAAAAAGACTTTTTTTCTATCCACAATATCTATCACAGTATCATATACATATTTTTGACCTTCGTTAAGTTGTGATTTTAAAATTGCATGCTTTTTGGACAATTCTTCACAATCATAATTTAACTCCTCTTAAAAGTTTGTTTTTAATTTCTATCATTTTATTTTCATCAGGCAAATTATACTTGTCCAAAGATATGGAAGCATTGTTAAAAAGTAATTCTAATTCAAATAAGACAGAATTTTTTAGTTCTTCTTCTGGTATAGCCATGTTAGGAATTCCAAAATTTTTTTGCATTTTGTATAAAATATCATCATACATGTTCTTCCAACAACAACAACAACAACAACAAAGCCTTTTCCCACTAAGTGGGGTCGGCCATATGAATCCTAGAACGCCATTGCGCTCGGTTTTGTGTCATGTCCTCCGTTAGATCCAAGTACTCTAAGCCTTTTCTTAGAGTCTCTTCCAAAGTTTTCCTAGGTCTTCCTCTACCCCTTCGGCCCTGAACCTCTGTCCCGTAGTCACATCTTCGAACCGGAGCGTCAGTCGGCCTTCTTTGCACATGTCCAAATCACCGGAACCGATTTTCTCTCATCTTTCCTTCAATTTCGGCTACTCCTACTTTACCTCGGATATCCTCATTCTCAATCTTATCCTTTCTCGTGTGCCCACACATCCCACGAAGCATCCTCATCTCCGCTACACCCATTTTGTGTACGTGTTGATGTTTCACCGCCCAACATTTTGTGCCATACAACATCGCTGGCCTTATTGCCGTCCTATAAAATTTTCCCTTGAAATTCAGTGG